GCAGTCATTAGAGCAAAGAACACACACCCCAGAAAATACTCAATACAATCACTAGCGTAGCTGGAAGTAAACAAACAATTCTAGTTTTATTTATTGTTATTTCAAAAATAAGAAATTAAAGCTCTTTTGATAATAAAAGCTACTCTTTACCAGTCTTTATGTGCATTAATTCATTTAACCTTTTCTACAACTTAATGAAATAAATACTATCATCCTCTGATAAGAGTTTGAAACAGAAACAGAAAGAGGTTCAGTAATCTGCCCAAGGTCTCTAAGACACAGAGGCAAGATTTAAATCAGTCTAACTCCAGGAATTCTCGAACTTTCATGCACAGCAGAAATCACTCAGAGGGCTTATGAAAACACAGAGTGCTGGGCTGGTCGCCCAGAGCTTCTGATCAATAGTTCTCAGCTGTGTCTGAGAATCTGCATTTCTACCAAGTTTCCAGGGTATGCTGAGGCAGCAGGTCTGGGGACCACACTTTGAGAAACATGGATCTAGGCTTTTCTACCTCTAAAGGTGCTTTGTGAAGTTTTCAGCTCTGCAAGTATTTAATATTCAGATTCACGCAGAAGCCGCCCCTCAGTTGCTTAGGATGTCAGATAACCTGGAGTCTCCTAGCTTTGGAAAATGCCCTGAGGGAATATTGGTCCAATGGGAAGGATTTGATATGCATTTCTCCTTATTCATCTTGTTGCAACTAATGGCAGGATTTTATTTTTATTTTTATTTAAATTTTTTTTATTACATCCTTGCTTCACCTCAAATATTTTTATTTTTTTTGAGACAGCGTTTTGCTGTCACCCAGGCTGGAGTGCAGTGATACAATCTTGTCTTACTGCAGCTTCAAGTTCCCAGGCTCAAGCAATCCTACTTCAGCCTAATGAGTAGCTGGGACAACAGGCATGTGATACCACACCTGGTTAATTTTTTTTTTTTTTTTAGATGGAGTCTTGCTCTGTTGCCCAGGCTGGAGTGCAGTGGCAAAATCTCAGCTCACAGCAACCTCCGCCTCCCAGGTTCAAGTGATTCTCATGCTTTAGTCTCCTGAGTAGCTGGGACTACAAGCGCGTGCCACCATACCTGGCTAATTTTTTTGTATTTTTTGTACAGATGGGGTTTCACTGTGTTAGCCAGGATGGTCTCATCTCCTGACCTCAAGTGATTTGCCCACCTCAGCCTCCCAAAGTGCTGGGATTACAGGTGTGAGCCACCACCGCACCCAGCCACATCTGGCTAATTTTAAAGTGGGTTTTGTTTTGTTTTTGTAGAAATGGGGGTCTCCCTATATTTCCCAGACTGGTCTTGAACTCCTGGGCTTAAGCAATCCTCCCCACTTGGCCTCCCAAAGTTCTGGAATTACAGGCATGAGCTGCCATGCTCAGCCAGGGTTGTTTTTGTTTGTTTGTTTAACTATTACAGAACATTTTAAGCATATATGAAAACAGAGAGAATAGCGCAATGACCCTATGTGCCCAACTCCAAACTTTGTTGATTGTCGTATGAGACTAATCTTGTTTTCATAATCTTTCTTTATTTTTTCTTTTTTTCTGGCATAAAGCAAACCCTAGATATCATGCCATTTCAATGTGCCTAACAGATGGGGATTTTCAAAAAAAAACCCATCATACTTTTATCACACCTAACGAAATTAACATTAATTATTGTATATCATATGATATTCAAGCTATATTCAGATTTCCTGATTGTCTCAAAAATGTCTTTTTAGAATTGGCAGGTTTGAATAATTTATTGTACTTTACAAGGACTGAATTCAATTAAGTGGACTGACAGATTACGTTACCTAAGTTTAACTCAACTCATCTTCACAAAATGAAGTAATGGCTTAAACAACTAGTGCAGAAAAAACACAGATTGGAAGCAAAACAATAATGGCAGCCTAGTGAACAAAAAGAAAAAAGCAGAGCGAAACTTCTCCTCGTACAAGCTGTCAGTCATATTTGAGGTTAAAAAAAGTCAATCTAATCAGATCTGACCAAGACAAATCAACCAAGACAATTTCATATTATCAAGAAGACTCAGGAGTGAATTTTCATCCACAATTGTCAACTGTAACAATGAACCCTGCCTGGAGACTGACACCATTATGACTAGTAATTTGAAAATATTATAGATTTTATTTTGACCTCTTTCAATTTTCCTAATTTATATGTATAAGATACAAAATATATTAATGTAGTAATACTTAAGTGTAACATATAATTGTGATACATGCTCAAAAAATGGTGTGTACACCATGAGGAGGTTGAAACCCTTGGGTCAATACTACACTGCCACCTCTATGCTGGTCTCATGTCTCAAGCCATGTCCCTTACCCTGTCCCTAACACCAGCCCTGGCAAGGCTTTCTCCATGACCCAAACCCAAACTTGTCGTACTCCTGCTTACTATTCAGTCCTCAGAGTGAAGGCCAAACTCCTTATGCAGCCCAGTGAGTCTACCGCCTGAGGCTTCCCTCTTTATTTATTTTTATTTATTACTATTATTTTTTTGAGACAGAGTCCCACTCTGTCACCTAGGCTGGAGTGCAGTGGCCCGATGTCAGCTCAGCAACTTCTGCCTCCTCAGTTCAAGCAATTCTCCTGCCTCAGCTTCCCAGGCAGCTGGGACTACAGGCACGTGCCACCACATCCGGCTAACTTTTGTATTTTTAGTAGAGATGGGGTTTCACTGTGTTGGCCAGTCTGCTCTCGAATACCTGACCTTAGGTGATCCGACCGCCTCAGCCTCCCAAAGTGCTGGGATTACAGGCATAAGCCACCATGCCCAGCCCCTGCTTCCTTCTTTTGTTGTTGTTGTTGTTGTTTGAGACAGTCTCTCTCCGTCACCCAGGCTGGAGTGTAATAGTACAATCTCAACTCTGCAACTTTTATCTTATGGGTTCAAGCCATTCTCCTGCCTCAGCCTCCCAAAGTGCTGGGATTACAGGCGTGAGCCACCTTGCCCGGCCCCTTGCTTCCCTTTTTAGGCTCCAGGGGCGATGCAATGTTAAGCCCAGGCCCAGTCTGCTCTGGTGTGTGCACACGCAATGGCACCTGCTATGCCCTCACTGGGTTGACCCTCCTTTAACCCACAGGTAACTCCTACAGAGCCTTCAAGATGTGGCTAGGCAGTCACCTCCCTTCAGAAGCCTTCCCTGACTGGGCAATGGACCTCCTCTGAGCTTCCTTATAAAGTGAGTTTCTAAGGACATTTTGTACTTATGTTAGCAGCACGGTGCAGGGATAAAGAACGTGGATCCTAAAGTCAATCTACAGGACTGGAATAGTGGCTACTACACCTAATGGGTTATATGACAAATGACTCAAACCCACCGTAAAATGGGGCCATGATGCATATGGAAACTAAATCCAGAATGGCTAAATTTAAATCCGCCATACTATTGCTAGCCGAGTGACCTTGGGCAAATTACTCAATGTCCATATGCCTAGTTTCCTCATACGAAAAATGAAGATCATAATAACACCCACATCACTGGGTTATTGTGAGGGTTCAAGTAAAGCATTTAGAATAGTGCCAGGTACATAGCAAGTGCTCATAAATATCAGCTCTAATCATCATGTGTCTGGATCCCACATTGGATGTAATACATGGCTGAATTAGTGAATGCATTGAATTATATTGGATTGAAATGAATTAAAGTCAATTGAAATGAATTGAAATTGTGCTAACTCTTGTTGCCTGTCACTGCAGGCTCCTCTGGGCTAGTCCTTCAAATGGTATAGAGGCTTCCCTCCCTAAGTCCTCCTTGTCACTGCCATGGGCCTCAGGATGACTTCTCTTTGCTTCCAGCTAACTAGTCGTTAACATCACCTAGGGACAAGCAAGCACTCAACCAGGCTCAAGCTTCAACTTTGTCTCAGGGACCTTCTTCGAGGAGGCCCTGTCCATTATCAACAATGTATCAGCCCACTGAGATGCCTAAAACTCATTTTAATATATTTAAAAAAAGCAAAGTCATACCACTGTGGACATCTGTCTTATTTACAATTGTCTCATCACAGTCTGGGAATATTTTTAGCTGAATATGAAATAATCATCATCCTACCCTCCCCTTCAGCCATACCTTCTGGTTTTGGATTTACAGACAGCATGCAAACTTCCCAGCCCCTAAGTGAGAAGAAAGCTGGGGTCAGTGGGGGTGGGGGTGGGGGTGGGGTAGCAACAGGCTGAAGCTTCCAAAAGAAAAGTAGTATAGAAATGAGCAAGAGAGCTGGGGCGGGGGTGGTTCACTGTAATTCCAGCACTTTAAGAGGCTGGGGCTGGAGGACTGCTTGCTTGTATCCAGGAGTTTGAGACCACTGTGGGAAACACAAGGAGACCCCCATCGCTACAAAATATAAAAAATTACCCAGGCATTGTGGTGCGATCTTGAGGTCCTAGCTACTTGGGAGGCTGAGATGGGAAGACTGCTTGAGCCCAGGAGGTCAACGGTGCAGTGAACGATGATCATGCCACTGCACTTCAGCCTGGGCGACAGAGTGAAACCCTGTCTCAAAAAGAAATAATAAGTGAGTGAGAAGTCATGAAAAGGAAGCAAAAACCAAAGCCCAGCAACAACATGAAACTGCTTGCATAAGATATCTGCACTTGAATCCTCTAAATCTATAAAAATAAAACATTTTTTTGAATTAAAAAAAAAAGTTCCTTGCCATTAAGACGAGAGAAGGGGAAGCAGAGAAGCAGAGAATTATGAAGACCATTTGGCAGAGGGAATTTGAGGAATACCAAAGAGGACGCCTCTCACTGTGCGCTGAAAAATCAAGGCAGGCTTCATGGAAGAGAGAATGCCCAGGCTGCTTTTTTAAAGAAAAGCTTACATTGTTGGGTGAGTTTTGGCGCAATCTATGGAAGATGGTGGAATCCTTTTCTCTGGGGATTTTGTAGAAAGGACAATCTGCACCCCTGGAGAACCACAGCCTCCCCCACTCCTGCCCCTGCTATTTACCTGTGTGACTACTTTTCCAATGAACCCTCACCTTGATAGAACTCCATGAGCACCTTTTGATCCTCTAAGGAAGTGTCGTAGTAGGTGAAAAAAAAGAAGACAAGAATGAGAGCTGCTTCCAGTGTTAGGGCCCAGAGGGGCAGGCAGCCCCGGACAGATGGCGGGTACTTAGAGCCCATCCTGCATCCGTCTCCGTGCAGAGGTTCCACCGGCACCAGGCATCACCCCTCTCCCCAACAGCTACTTGAGGGAGTGATAGGGGAGACACCCGCCAAAGGCCTTATCTCAGGCTGCAAGGCTGGCTGTGCTGGCCTGTCTATGGAGTTAACACGGAAGCAGAGGGACCATGATGGGGAGGGGAGGAAACGTATGTTTTCCAACATTAAGTCATTCATTCAACAAGTAGTTGCTGCGTTCCTGCTATAGGTTCCTGCTGTGCTCAATTTAAAAGAGGGCATTCTACTCCTTCGACACCCAAACAATCCTTCTTTACTCTGTACTTCAGTCATCTTCGCCATATCCTTGTAAGAAAAGCAAGAAATGGATCAATACTCCTATTTTATGAATAAGGAAACTAACACTCAGAAGAGGCTTTCAGGGCACCCAGTGAGCTCTTAATAACAATGTATTGAATGAGAATGAATGAATGAATGAAAGCAAAGAATGGGGCCGAGCCCTGGGGAGGATACATATAGGACCCACATAGAATTGATTCCTCATAGTTACACATGAAATTACTTACATTTAAATTTGTATTTAAATGTATGTGTTTCTACCATTTTAAGGGTAGCTGGCAGAAGAGACAGGAGGCGTGGGTTTGGCTCTAGTAAAAACCTGAAGGGGATCCTGATCCAGCCTTGGGGTGAAGTTGCTCCTACCTCTGGTTGCCTCCTCACAGGGCAGCCCAGGGCTCTGCCTGGGGCACTACAGTGCATTTGAGGAAGCCACCAGCCTCAGCATCCCCATCCCACAGTGGTGGACAGTCTGGTCCCCTAGCATGAGCTTTAGGGGGCTTAACTTCCCCTGTGGTTCCCATCCCATCCTAGCAGAAAGTCTGGCACATGGTAAAGTGTCAAGGAAAGAAGGAAAAGAGGGAGGGACGGAGGGAGGGAGAAAGGGATGAAAGAAGGAAGGAACTGGCATTTCCTTACCCTCTGCAATGACCCCAGCCACTGGCCACTGAGTGTAAACCGAATGTGTGGAGCCCGAGAATAAAGCCAGGCTAGGAGCTGCAGGGAGGTGGAAAGTGGAAAGTGGATACTTTATTGACCATTACAGTTGTCCACCACCCTGTCACTAGAGGAATGCAAGCAGAAGCTGATAGTCATTTGTCAGAGTGTCTTGAAAACGATTCATATGTGGATCAGAGGAGATTTTAATTACCTAGTAGAATCCTGTCTTTTTTTTTTTTAGACGGAGTTTCGCCCTTGTTACCCAGGCTGGAGTGCAATGGCGCGATCTCGGCTCACCGCAACCTCCGCCTCCTGGGCTCAGGCAATTCTCCTGCCTCAGCCTCCTGAGTAGCTGGGATTATAGGCACGCGCCACCACGCCCAGCTAATTTTTTGCACTTTTTAGTAGAGACGGGGTTTCACCATGTTGACCAGGATGGTCTCGATCTCTCGACCTCGTGATCCACCCGCCTCAGCCTCCCAAAGTGCTGGGATTACAGGCTTGAGCCACCGCGTCCGGCTCATTTTGTTTTTAGATGAAGAAACCAAGACCTAGAGAGGTCACACCCAAGGTCATTGAGTCATTTGGCATTAGTAACTTCTTGCTCAGTGCAGCTTTATTTACAGAAGGAAAAAACAGACTAACCTAAATGTCCACTAGCAGGGGATTGATTAAGAAAACTACAGGACATGAAACTTGCTGCCAATATGATGGTTCTGAACATATGCAGGAAAAGCAACAGGAAAATACTTTTATCAAAACTGACACAGAGAACATACTGTTTAGTGAAAAAGCAAGTTATGTAACAGTATGTGCAATATGCTCCCACTTTTATAAAATAATAATATGTTAGCACATGCATAGAAAAAAGTTGGTTGCAAACCACTAAAACATTGATTACTTTTGCTTTACACATTTTCAGAGCTAACTTTTATTAAGTACTTATTGCTAGGCACTATTCTAAGCACCTTACATATATGAATTTAGTTTATGACACTAAGATGGGTACTATTAGTCTTATACTACAGATGAGTAAACTGAGGCACAGAAAAACTAAATGACTTGCTCAAGGTCACAGGGCTAGTAAGTAGTGGAGCTGGGATTTCAACCCAGGCAGCCTGACTTCAGGACCTGGGTGTTTGACCACTTAACTGTAGCCCTAGATCAGGGGTCCCTGTCCTCTTTGGCACCAGGGACCAGTTTTGTGGAAGACAATTTTTTCACAGACTGGGGTGGGGTTGGAGGGATGATTTGGGAATTAAATTGTTCCACTTCAGATCATCAGGCATTAGTTAGATTCTGCTAAGGGGCACCCAACCTAGATCCTTCTCATGAGCCGTTCCCAATAGTGTTTGTGTCCCTCTGAGAATCTAATGCTGCTGCGGATCTGACAGGAGGCAGAGCTCAGGCAGCAGTGCTCGCTCGCCTACCCCTCATGCTGTGTGGCCCTGGTTCCTAACAGGCCACAGCCCCGGGGTTGGGACCCCTGTGCCTAGATTACTTCTAAGCCTTCTTCCAATTCTAAAAGTCTAGGAACATGGGGTTCTAAGTCCTCTGCTACCCCAGCAGTAAATAAGGGAGGGAGGGCGCCCCAATCCCCAGAGGTCAGAAGTCTCCATTCCTCTCACAGTTGCCTCCTGGTTCTGATTTCCAGACTCTCTCTGGCAGTCAGTACTTCTTATAAACTGGGTTTCCTGAGAAGGAACTCTCCTGTGCAGTGGGACAAATGGACGTGACCCACGGTAGCCTGGGCCCAGTACAAGATCTGAAAACCAGGCAGCCAACTGCAGCCTCCTGCCCAAAGGCACCAGATGTCAGCAAGATGAACACTAAAGACGTCCAGGCAATGCCAACCCCCGTGCCTGATGGGCGTGTTTACCAGCTGGCAAACAGCATGAGTGGTAGCTGGTTCCAAAGCACTCCAAACCCCTGTGCGTCCTGATCCTGCCCCAGTCAGGAAGCAGCAGGGACTGACTGCTTGACAAGAGGACCAACCCACTCCTCACGGAACAGAAAGGCTTTCATTAAGAAAGGGAGATATTGGCCGGGTGCAGTGGCTCACGCCTGTAATCCCAGCAAGTTGGGAGGCCGAGGCAGGCGGTTCACAAGGTCAGGAGTTCGACATCAGCCTGGGCAACACGGTGAAACCCATAACTACTAAAATACAAAAAAAATTAGCTGAGCGTGGTAGCAGACACCTGTAATCCCAGCTACTTGGGAGGCAAGAGAATCGCTTGAACCCAGAAGGTGGAAGTTGCAGCGAGCTGAGATTGTGCCGACAGAGCGAGACTCCATTTCAAAACAAAAAAAAGGGAGGTATCACTGAGGTTGGCCACTCCCAACAGATTTGTCAAAAACAGAGTTTTTGCTCTTCCCCTCTGACTCTTTTAAAAGGTCTCATTTTCTGACTACAGTTCCTGATATTCTGTCTCTAAATCTTCAAGGCAGGTCACCTGGTACAGAAAGCACAAGGGATTTAGGATAGTTAAGTCAAAAACCAAATACAGTAAAATGTTAATTGTTGAATCTAGCTGTGAGATATATGGCTTTTCACCATACAGATCTTTCAACTTTTTTTGGGTAAATGTTTGAAATTTTTCATAAGAAAATGTTGGGAAAAAAGCCCTTTATGCACCTGCTGTTCTCTCTCTTAAACACTCCTCCTACCAGAAACAGATGGCCTCCGACTGATGATGGTTTGACTTAACGGTTTTCAACTTTACAATGGCGTGATAGCAACACACATACAGTAGAAACCGCACTTTGGGTACCCACACCACCACTCTGTTCTTTACTTTCTGTACAGTACTCAACATATTACATAAGATATTCAACACATTATTGTAAAACAGGCTTTGTGTTAGATGATTTTGCCCAACTGTAGCCTAATGTAAGTGTTCTAAGCATGTTTAAGGTAGGTGAGGCTAAGTTATGACGTTCTGTAGTTTAGGTGTATTCAATACATTTTGGATTTACAATATTTCCTACTTACCATGGCTTTATCAGGACATAACCCAATCATAAGTCAAGGAACATCTGTACCGGAAGTGAGGTGGGGACCTCACTTTCCTGGATCTGTACTCCACTGTCCCCTTCTCAGGGAAGTTTTCCCTGACTGTCCTTTTTTTTTTTTTTTTTTTTTTTTTGAGACAAACTTTCACTCTTGTTGCCCAGGCTGGAACACAATGGCAGAATCTTGGCTCACTGCAACCACTGCCTCCCAGGTTCAAGCGATTCTCCTGCCTCAGACTCCTGAGTAGCGGCGTTACAGGTGCGTGCCACCACCACACCCGGCTAATTTTTGTATTTTTAGTAGACACAGGGTTTCACCATGTTGGCCAGGCTGGTCTTGAACTCCTGACCTCAAGTGATTTGCCTGCCTCAACCTCCCAAAGTGCTGGGGTTACAGATATGAGCCACCGCACCTGGCCTCTGACTGCCCTATTTCAAAGGACAGCATCGGCTCCCCTGTCTGCTCCCCTTGGCAAGGGTTCCTTGTGTTTCCCTTTTAGTCTTTCTTCACAGCGCGTACTAGCATCTGACACAATATATATTTTTACTTGTGTATTTGTGTTTTGTTTTGTTTTGTTTTGAGATGAAGTCGCACTCAGTCACCCAGGCTGGAGTGTAGTGGCACAATCTTGGCTCACTGCAACTTCTGCCTTTTAGGTTCAAGCGATTCTCCTTCCTCAGCCTCCTGAGTAGCTGGAACTACACCATCACGCCAGCTAATTTTTGTATTTTTGGTAGTGATAGAGTTTTGCCATGTTGTCCAGGCTGGTCTCAAACTCCTAACCTCAGGTGATTCATCCACCTTGGCCTCCCAAAGTACTGGCAGTACAGGCGTGAGCCACTGTGCCCAGCCATGTATTTGTTTATTGTCTGTCTTCCTCTATGAGAATCTGAGCAACATGTAGACAGGGACTTTTGACTGCTGCGGTTGCTGTTGTATGCTCAACAACAGGGACTCAGTCCACAGTAGGTGCTCAATAAGTATTTGTTGGCAGAATAACAGCTACCATTTCTGGAATGCCAAGCACAGAACCAATCATTTCGCATATTTCATCAGAAGCCTGTGAGTGTAGGCATCATTACATTTACAGAAGAGGAAACTGCTCAGAGAGGTG